AGTCAAGTGCTCATTACATTTCAGAGGAGAAAGTGAGCGCATTGGAATGTAAATGCTCTGACACAAATACAGAAAGTCATGTGGGGCAGCTTTCTAGTGCCATCAAGAAGCCTTGGGATTCAGGAACTACAATTAAAGACTAAACTCAGGATCTTTTTTTAAAATCTCTTCTGGACTCTCTCTTAAAAAAATTGTGTTTTAATATATGTAGATTTTTCTTTCAATGCATTCAATGACAATGAACATGTTTCTAGAGCTCTGTACAGCTGCAGTCTACCTGCAGGAGTTTACAGAGTTTGTTCTACTGTATTTCCAAGGCAATTCTGAGGTGAGAGAACACCCAAGCCCTTCTTGTAAGCTAAAGGAAAATTTTGTTGTGCATTTTGCTGCTTTATTCTGGCTAGATGAGACTGCTGTTGTGAAATAGTCCAAATCACCTCCTTCCCTGCTGAGCTGGCATTGCCTGTGGTAATGGCTGGGTGGGAGCAAATCCCTACTTCACTAGGCAGTACTTCTGAAGCATCTGCAGATATTCAATGTCTGGACACAGAGCTCATATCGCAGAAAGAGACATCCAGAATCCAGGGAAGAAAGGGCCTAGTTCTCACGTGGCATTCTGAGTTAGTACTCACCAATTCCTTGCTTTCCAAAGCTGAGGAAATAATTTTGGCATTTCAGCGAGGATATGATTAGTTTGGATAATAGTTGTATTGTCATGAAGATCAGAAAAAAAAGATCCTTTGTCTTTTCAAACAGCAAGAGAAAACAGATCATGTATTGAGGGTTATCCACATACATAAATCCTGATGGAAAGGACAGGAGAAAAGAAAACACCCATCAAAAACTAAATAAGCATAACTTGGCTTTGCTTATTTTCTCTATTGCCTTTTCCAATTGAATACATTTATTCCAAAGAGAATTTACGGGAAGTTGGTTAAACCAATTTAAAACACAAATTTCTGTAGAGGAACAATTGTCCCATGCTGCTGTCATGGTCCACTCCCTGCCATGGCCCACGAAGCCTTCAGCTGTGAGGATC